GGGATTTGCGTTCTTCCGATGAGCAACACGGACTTCTCGCCATCAAAGTCCTCAGCGAGCTTCTATATTCCTGAGGTATCGTGTATTAGATTTGAGAAGCAAAAATACGCGTACTTAGTCCCACTATCGAGTATAGTGATACGTAATTCGAAGATACGATGAGAAACCACTGCCTTCCCAGAGAACATAGGTAAGGACGGATGGAAAAGCCCAACACGACATGAGGACTTACAGGTTACCATGCGCAGAACGTGAGAGCGTAAACGAGGAACGCAGACTATGCTATCATCGACGTAGATCCTTCCAGCCTGGCTCGAGGGCGTCAATAAAAAAAATTGGATGCAGCAGATCGCCGTTCCCAGCTCCCATCGCATGAGTACTTTGTCTTCAACAGACGAGGCCGATCACAATCTGCTGTGGGCAAAGAATCGAGACTGGGACTTCGCCGATGCAGGGCCGAGATGCCCTTTGCTGAGAAGAGATCAGGTCATGCCAACCCCGAAGAGACGGCGACGACCCTGCCCAGGCACTATACTGTATTTCGATTGCATCTCGGGAGAGTCCACACCAATAAGTGTCGGACCCCTTTAGCAAGGCCCTCGTTGTGACCCTGTTCTTCCTCCGGCATATAAAGATAATAGATGCCCACCTCACCTTTGTCGTTACACAGCGCCTGCTCGTTGGACGACGATACAGCGAATCCAGGTTCTTGACGTTACAAAGACGGTCGCCCATGGGTATCGATGTTACTGGAGAATCGAGGAGAAGACGAATACGCTGCTTTAGTCTATCGAGAATGTCGCCGTGTCAATTTGAGGAGATACCGTTGTACTTAGAACTGGAAGAATGAACTGATACAATCCAGCAATCGCCGTCGAAAGATGTGACAAGGCTGAGCCTGGTCATCGTGTCGTTTCAGACCGAGTTCCTGGACTGCATTCCACGCTGGGATCTTGAATTATTGGGGTTTAAGATAGATACAAGCTGGCCGCGATGCTCGAACGCCAAAATAATACTGATATTGTGATCTCTCCGAAAACATAGTACGTTTACACACTGTGAAACCGAACAGTCAGCTGGAAGGGCACACGACGACAAAGCCAGTAACTCAAGGTAGGGAAAAGCTATCGCCTTGATCTCAAGACAGGTGCCACAGGTAATAGTCCCGACATGGTGGGTCCCACTTCTCGACCCGCATCTCAAAGTCGTCCCCAGCGAGAGCCTGGATATCCTCTTCCCAGAAATACTCATATCTTTCCTCCTTAAATTGTACTTCAACTGATTTCAGCAGTCCTGCATCACGGCGGGAGCGCGCCATGCGCAGTATAGTGGTCCACTCGTCATCTGAATGCTGCGGTATACATATGATGAGATGGTGTAGGTTCGGTAGGACAGAGGGAGAGGTGAGGGCCTCAACAACGCTGAAGACCATCCATGCAGGAAGCTCGAGTTTGAGGCGAGAAACGGTAGAACATGCTTCCAGTGCGAAGATACTGCTATCTGCGGACGATGTGAATATTGCCTTGCCGAGGCTCAAACTCTCGAGATGACATCTCGATCGATGGAGGAAACGGGCGATAGATTCACGTTGGGAGGATGAGAGAAAGACTTGTGAGACCGGGGCAATGGTCAAACTGCTGAGGAGAGGTGCAGATAGGACGCTGAGAATATTGATGTCACCGACATAGAGGTGAGTGAGCTGTGCCACTGTTACCTCCGGCAGGTCCGTTGTGGTCAGCCTCGTTAAAAGGTGACATCTTCTGAGGTTCGGTAGTTCGGCAAGAAGACGTAAATCTTCTGGACAAGTGATAGACTCAGAAAGATGGGTTATCCTGGGCAGTAACTTGATCTGATGGATCCCATGCTGGCTAAGACTTGCTCGCCATAGCTGTGGGGCACTCAAACACATGTCGGAGCGATAATCAAAGCCATAGTCATCATAGATGTCTATGTCAATCGTCTGCAGCGCTGGAAGGGACGAGATAGATTCGAAAAAGGGCATATGAAGCTTGGAAGCGAAAATGCGCAGATTTTTCCACCGATGGCAGGATTGAAAAAGCAGAGACAGGATTGCGTGATATCCTGGAGGATTGTTGCAGAGAATCTGCAGATTGAGAAGATGTTCGCCCGTGTGCTCGAGATAGGTCTGCAATTTTTCCAGAGCATATTGGGAGAAAGAGGTCCGCACGACAAGCTTCCGAGCCCAGGACGCTGGCGAGGACTGCAAAGTATCCCTCCACATTCCACAGACACGACCCAAAACCCAAAGAGGCCCGGATACGTTTAGGCTGTGGTGTGCGTGCGGCTGCACTTTGTCCGGCCACCAAGAATCACAAACAGAATGGAAGATTTCGATGAGAATATCGCGGGGAAGACGACGAATGGGGGCAAAGATTGATTTGCGACTTTCGAGAGCTGTTAGGACTGCACATCGACGCAACTGGATCTCTTCAAGCTGGGCAGCATACAATGTTTGCAGCTGTTCCAACTCGACAATTTCGGCGTTGAGCAGTGCATGGTCAGATTCGAGCAATGCTCGTGACCCGCGTAGAATTTGTGAGATGAGGCCGTCAGAGCTCTTGGTATTTTGTAGTTGTGGCTCGGTGGGAAGGACGTCGATGAATCCACAGTTGCGACATGACATTGGAGGGAAAAGGCAAGAATCTACTCGCACGTGGTCTGTCTCTCTGTCTCTACCCTCATCACTGTCAGTTCTGATATGACTTGTCGCTGCTGTCCGTCCCTTTGATTTTCTGCATTATTCTTTTGTATCGGCCTTGCATTTCTCCCTTCATGAAATTGTTGTATGAGCCCAAAGCTAGAGAGAAATTGAACGGGAATTCGTGAGAACCACGCCGAACCACACCTACTCACCGCGCAGTGGGCCGTGAGGTACTGGTCAGCAACGGTGTATTGGTGAGTGGTTCCTTGTCTCTTTGACTACTGTATTCAACATTCATCCAGATGCCGCTACTATCTCCCTGTTGCCATCCTGGCCTTCAATCCAATAAACCTTCATTTTCTGTCTCGTTCTCCTCCGACAGTTTCCCGTATCACCCCTCTTATGCAATACATCTCATCTCGGATCGCTTGCGAAGGAATGTTTTTGCAGACAGCTGGGTCTGACACCGAGAAGCAGCTTCCTAGCCGTCTGCAAGCAGGAGCTCGTACTTACGCTTGGGCGATCATCGATCAGGTCTCCCGCATTTGTGGTGGAAGTGAAGCGAGGTGATGGGTTTACGTGAATGGGAGGGGCGTTCTCGCTGGCGAGTAACCTTTTCGACATTGTCTGCCCGTCGCACTTAAAGTTTATTCGGATAGACACGACGCCAACACAGTCGTCGACCTCGGCCCTTCGTATCATATCTCAGGAGGCGAAATTCTGTGACCACCGCTGAGGGCTGCTTTTGCCAGAATTCATAATGTCCTTTACTTTTTTGATGCCCAGGACACGCGCTCGTGGCGCATGCATCCGACGCTAGTAATTGACGCGGAGTCCACTCTCCTGATGTGCCTTATTCTCTAGAGATACCACGATGCCTTCTCAGCACCTCGGATCAGTATATCGGCGGATCCTTCCAACACGTTCTCCGCTGAAATTATCTTGGACAGAGCATTCACCGGTGTTATACGTCGCCACAGTAATAAAAATGACCAATCCAAGCTATGTCCACGTATCTTACCCGTCTCTCATCTTCATCGATGTTGTACGTAATGACTTGCCTCAGATTCCCTGAATATGAATCTAATAACACCACTTCTCTACAGTCTGGACTCCTTGAACGCAGATCCGAAGCCTGAGTACGACAAGAATCATTGGCGGCTTTGACGAGATCTCGAGGAGTGTTTTCAAGGCGGCTTTAAGAAGCATACAGCGTTCTCCAGTCCATTTTTGAACGTCATCCTGCTACCACCGCCGTCTCTCGCTCTGCTACTTCTCACATCACGGAGAAGAAAGGAAATCTCAAGCGATGCTCCATCGCCATCGAGCTACAATCCATGTCCCCCCGGTGACTGGCTCGAACATACGCGCGCGTCGTCACACCGGTCCACATCTCTCCCGTAGCTTGGCCGTGGTTGCTGTGCTCAAAAGCTATTTAGATCCGCGCTACCGCGGCAGGATAATGAATGCTTATATCATCGTCATGGAGAGCGGATATCCCGACACTCCTCATCAAGCTCGGTGGCCCCTCGACCTCACCATATCTTGTCTTTGCCAATAACTAATATCTCTGCATGGAGCATTCGCTTGCTTCAGTTGCCGTACCGATGAGAGAGCGGATAGAGATTGACACTTCTACGGAATACACGCTTCTTCAACCCACGCTTACGCACTCGTACTGACGAGAAACGACCCGGACGGCACATTCTGAGTCGTTCCTGGCGTTCCTGATTTGTTACCGATGTAGGGCATGGGCAAACAAACCATCGTTTCGTGGAGGTAGCGCTCCATCTATCTACACAATCCTTAGACCTTCGCTTCCCCGCACCAATGTGTTTAGGACCTCAGCGTAGTCACTGATCGCAGTCTGTCATCTGCAAACCGGCGTCCTCATCTTCAAGTATTTCGTGTCTCGCAGTTTCACGCATACAGAGGTGCAGACATAGCGAACCTGAGCTACGTTGGGAAATATCCTTTCCGCCGCATATTCTGGGGGAGGTGGGAATATGTTTGAAATTACAATTCCCCTCCTCCCATATATAACACCAACATGTTGACCGCTACATTTGGACCTTGCTTAGCACCCCATATGCACTCAAATTTGACGCTACGGAGGGAGTAAATATCTGACGGGTCGTTCGCATCAGCATCGTTAGTACCTTGCGCTCGTCTTTCACTCTAGGTTTGGGTTTGCACCCGGTTTCTTTTCGGCGCAGATGAGGACAAGATACAGTGCTTGTCCCCATTATAATTCACAGGTAATGGATCAGTTGTCCTGTTGCTTTTGCACGTGGGCTCCATATCCCCATGTGTCTGCTGTGGCCTCTAGTACTTCAATGGGTCGGTGGCGTGGCTGGTTATTGCATAACATAGTTAAGTATGATAATGTTGTACCTTTTACACAGAAGGTCCTCAGTTCGAACCTGGGCCGACTCATAGATGTACTTAAAAACCTACGTTGTAGGGAAATTCCTTTTTGCCAAGTTCCAACCGGTTAGTACTGAAGTACTTAGTACTTAAGTCTTAGACGGTCATGAAAAACGGTAGTGTCTATCGCGGGACGGAAGAGATAAAAACCAGGGGTATCCGTCACTCGAGAGCAGAGCGTCAAGTTTCAATGGTAATCCAGTCGATCGACTCCAGTGTCCACGAGGCAAAAACGAAAGTAATCATATTGACAACCTCGACCCTCATGAGTCGACCCAGATTCGAACTGAGGACAGATACGATAACCAACTTCGCCATCGACGTGTATGGTAGGGGTTATGAGTGAGCGGTCAATTTCTGGGCGTCCGGATCCTTGGATAAAGAAATTGGACTTCACGCTCGAGATCCTGCTAGGTGCGAAAATTCAGAGAGTGGAGGACGGAATGGGGAATAGGTAAAAAAGACGCAAAGGCCACGAGGCAGAAGGAGAGAGGTACACAGTCAACACGAAGACTGAGCAAAAGATCCCAATTCCCAACTTGCTCCTCAAAGAATCATAACAATGAGCTTGTTAGAATGAGCAGAGATAAAACGTCCAAGTATTCAGAGAACTGCGCCTCGGGAGAATCGAACTCCACGCCAAAGCATCGGACCCATTTATCCGCGAGTGTGGAAGCGTCCCTGGCTAAAAACGTCGTGTAAAAAATGAACACGGCGTCTCGAAAGAGGTACTCTTGAGATGACGACGCAATGCATAGAGAATGACGTGGAAGGTAGTAGATTATGTATTGGATTTACAACAAAGGAACTGCCGTACAGTACACACGGCTCTCGATGCCAAAGGGTCCACACCTGCAGTAGACGAATCGATCTACCCTGCACCTGATTCACATCCCGGGAGATGTACAATAAGCAAGCATCGCCGCAAGTGTGGTACTCTCGTTGTCGCCCTACAGTCCACCGCAGAACTGAATATTGAAAGGGCGGGACTAGGACTGCACGAACTTGACATCTTTCAAACAGCGATATTGACATGCTGGGATGGAGAGGGATAGGGGTGAGAGGACTGAGCGCAGTGTAAGCGGAGGGGACGAATGGAGGGTGCGCGGGAGGAGCGTCAGAGCGAGTGGTGGTTGCGAAGTCGAGGACTAGCAAATGCTTTCGTAGACGGCTCGCAAGTTACCTCCCGTCGAGGCCCAGTTTGCATGGTCGAACTAGGGAAGTAGGGACGTGCGTGCTGCGGTGCAAATTGTGGATAGACAGTCCGAGTCAACCATTAACGTTTCAAGAACGCTGTGAGGCCCTCGTTCTGCCAATATGGATGCGCCCGTAAGCCGCGAACATGAGCGGGCAGGCTTTGGAGGTTAGATAACGCTCGGTAGGAGAGAGCGCGCCTTGGGTTTGCACGAAGGCATTGGAGCAGCGCCAATTGCAAGGAAAAAACGACATGGCCGGCGAGTGTCCGTTCGTGGTGACGACTAGCGAACAGCTCAATCTTCTGATGCTCGCAAACAGTTCCCACTTGTCATCGAGGTCCGTCAGGGAATGGAATTCGCCATGGTCATACGTATGGTGGGCAATAGACGTGCGGCCGGTATGCAAGCGAGGAAGCGGACTTGGATGGGTGGTCTATAAAAGGAGAATCATGGTAACCCACCAAACTTGTTCGCCGACACCAACACCCTCACCCCAAGGATCTGGCCCGTCTCACGACGACACAGGGTAGCAGCAGAGGAAGAAGGGAGAGGAATGCAGTGGTCTCTGGTGCGGGAAAGAGAAACGCATCGGGAAATGCCGCCAAAAGTCAATCTTGCACTACCATGCTCTCAATCGCGGTAGAAATCCCCGACAGCTCCAATCTACGAGCTTATTGCCTCTCAACTTGGAACGCACGCGTGGTTTCTGGTAAAATCTCAATTGCATGCATGATCCCAAAATAACAGTGACATTGGTATCGAATAGGTGTACAGACACTAATACACTGTCAAGGACGATGAGAAGAATGTAGCCGGTACACGACTGTTCCCTAACTAGCATCAGCACGAAATCGACAAGCACGCCGACAGACCAAGCCCACCTCGAACGGACGACCGCGCGCCGACACCATCTCCCATGCCCTATGCGCATTTACTCACTGCAAACCACCAGTTAGCCCTCCGACGCGCCCACACGAAGCAACACACTTACAGGAGCGACAAGGTGATGTCACCGTTGACCTTGGCCTGGATGGCGATCTCAACCTCGAGGTTAAGGTCAAGGCGCAACTTCAAAGCTGCGGGAGGGGCAACAGCCTGGCGCTCAGAGCGGCCGACGACTTGTCCACCGAGGACGGAAGAGGATTGAGTAGGTGCGTATTGGGTTTGTGGGGCAGACATTGTGATGCTGAGGATGGAGGACAGCTAGGTGAGGGTTTTTATAACTACTTGGGCTACCGTTGCGGGGTACTCGGCACCTTGGACGCGGGAATGCTCGTGTAACCATTGATATTTCATTTGAATATACATGGATCCGGAAGCTTGCAACTTTGCCTCGTTGACGAAAACTTTTCTCATGTGGTAGGACTACTGAATACAACCGTGGGAACCCAAGAGTCGAGCCTCTCTCTCTTCCTCCCATGATACATACACTTCAAGTTTTTTTTTCTCGAAGGCACCCCACTTCTAGGCTGTTACGACAAGGCCAGCTCCCGTTCTTCGCTCCACGTTCCATCTCTAAATGGAGAAGAAGAACATGCCCGTACGCATCGCCCCCGTCTGAGACTAATCACAAGGCGACCCAAGAGGTACCCGGGTGTTCGAACTTCGAACGTGTAACACATTGACAACCCACGAAATTTAACCCGGACCTCTCTTCTCATCCAATATACGATGAGGCACCCGAGTTGCTAAATGCATGGCGCAATCCATAACGTTGCTCTCGCCCCGGGTCGACATTCGTTCTAAACCATGGCGCAATCTATAATAACGCTCAGCTCGTATAAAACCCCCCACCCAAGCACCCCTCCCTCCTCAGCATAACAATGTCTGCCCCACAAACCCAGTTCGCACCTACCGAAACCTCCTCAGTCCTCGGTGGACAGATCGTCGGCCGCTCCCAGCGCGCCGCCGCACCCCCCGCATCCGTGAAGCTGCGCCTTGACCTCAACCTCGAGGTCGAGATCGCCATCCAGGCCAAGGTCAACGGCGACATCACTTTGTCCCTCCTGTGAGTTGGTTCTCGTCGTCTGGTGGGTGCCCCCGGCTGACTGTTTGGTTCACAGCGAGTAAATGTGTTACGCGCATGAAGAGGGTTTTGGATTGTGCTCGACGCGTTCTGGTGAGGTTCGGTTCGTTGAATGTTAGTTCTTGGTGATGCTAACGTGTATCTGCTTAGCGTAGACCATTTTTCCGTCCCTTTGTCGATGTTGTATTAGTGTAGTCCCATACCAATATCAATGTCATTGTATTGTGAAGAATTTTAGTCTTAGGTCATAGGAAGTGACCCGCAATGGGTCGATGGCGTAGCTGGTTATCGCATCTGTCTAACATGTAATACCCTGGTTGAGCATTTGTCTTCACAGAAGGTCCTCAGTTCGAACCTGGGTCGACTCATAGTTTGTACCAAACTGTTTTTGTCATTCTCGCGGGCTCCGGGGTAGGGCTGCGCACGAAACCTCTGGGGGGGGGTAAGATACGGTTTTATACCGACCCCCCTTGGAGAGGGGTGTTTTGATACGGTAATTTACCGTTACTTACCCTATCACGTGCATAATCACATGCCTGACGCGCGTCATTTGCAAATTTTTCGCAGTATCTTCATCTTCGTATTCTTTTACACATTTTTCTGTCTCCTGAAGTGTGATTCATTGAAAGTTACTAAAGAGATATGTTTTAAGCTGTAAATAAAATATAACTACACTAGGATTGAATATAGTGGTAATATTGATGCTGAAATGTCATCACATGACAGGTAAGTTACCTCGACGAAAACCCCTCCAGCGGGGGGAGGTAAATTACCAGTAACTAACCGGTAACTTACCGGTCCGAAACCCTAGTGTATCAAAACCTAGGGTTTCGTGCGCAACCCTACTCCGGGGTCAAGAGTCAAGACTCTAGCATACTATAACCTATATACCTGTTTTAAATTTTCTCCCTTCCCTATGATATCCCCTGGGGTCCGGGAGCATTTTCTAGTGTTGTTTGAATTTCGGGTTCATGTGCTTCCCTTTTTGGACTCGCGCTCTCTCAATTCCTGCCGTCATCACGCTGGGTTTGAGGCTCGGTCATCTCACACTGATGCTAACGCGTAACGGAATCCTCGCTTCCCAGGCGTGTCGTGGGAGGCATGAAGGTACGCGACCTTTTTGCGATATCCTCGTTTTCCCACCAGCAAGCCTGCAGTGTAGTACACCCTTCCCCCGACGTCCGTCTTCCCAGCTGGCCCTCGTTCCCCGCCGATACGCTACGTTCAGGGCGCAGTGGGATGACGAGAGCAATTGGCACGGGGTCGAGTTTGAGAGTCTTGTAGATGCGACCGTCGAGCTCACTCAGATAGTCCGCCTCTCTGCCGGGGAAAGGCACCTTTCTCCAAGCCACCCGACCATCCTCTTACCCCGGACGCTCGGCTCGTTCTTTCCCTACGTTCATCATTCATGCACGGGATGACTTGGGGCTGGTGCGAGGTGGAATATGACGAATGTTGCAGATGCACAGGCCCATCTCGCCAGCTTCGACGTGTCCCACTAGGATTTTCTTCCAGCAACGGATTCGCGCAATGCCGATAACAAAACTCAATTTCTACCACGCCTCTCTAATGAACATCCTCCCTCCTAATATATGCCGGCTACTCGAAAACCCTACATGGTGAGGCCGTCGCACCCCAACCAGCAATGATATCGTACCTACCACTCTGAATCGAATGCTCGACAAGACAGTTTCGTAGCTCCGTCTATCCCTCGACTCGGGGGTCGCTGGCGAGAGATGGCCCCTCGAAAATTGAACGCGCAACCCTATCCAATCCAGATCTCAACCTCGAAGTGTCGCCCGTTGGCGAGATGTGTCGTGGGACCGGAGAGAAGGTTTTAGAAAGTGAGATGCTTCGCCGACCCCCCTTTCATCGACGCCGGATCGTGCATGGACCTCTGTAATCACGCCAAGGCGCTTACTCTAGGGTCGATGGCGTAGCTGGTTACCGCTCTTGCAAAGTGTCCTCAGTTCGAACCTGGGTCGACTCGTGGCGACAAATAGTCCTTTTTTTCGCTCTGGAGTCTCGGGGTGTGCATTGTGCTTTCGCCTTAGCTTGATGCGTGATGCACTATCATCTCACATCAACGCGAACATCCGACAGATACCCAACGCAGTCATGAAGGGTACACGGCTTTGACATTCTTTGTCGTTCCCCCGCCCAGGAAAATGCGCTATGTCGACGACTGGTGTCGGTATGACGAGAGTAAAGATTGGGGGCTGGCGCCGCGGAGTGGAATATGACAGGTGGATCGCAGCCTCACCGTCGTTTCAAGTTCATGTCCCCGCTCTCGATTTGCCTTTGCCTCTTTTTCACAATAGCCGATGTCCTTTCCCAGCGATGGATTCGCGCAATGTCATTCCTCCCGATACAAAACTCACGCCTCTCTGATAAACATCCTCCCTCCCTCCTAGTTTCAAGACCTGCCCCGGCATGCCTAATTCCTCGAGCTCGCTCAGAAAAACGCGTCCGAGGGATACGTTCGTGAAGGCGTCTTTCCGACCATCCTCTCATTGACAAGTGTGCGTTCCTTGACGCAACGGAATAGAAATCCCGCCCTGACTTGCAGAAGATCGCAGGTAGACAGTTTGCGTCGTGCTACAAACACTAGTTTTTTTTGGCAACCCCGTCTCCAAGTCTCCTGTATAAAAGGGAAATATGTGACGTAGAACACAAATCCCCTTGCGTACAGCCCTACCCCACGGTGTCCACAGTGAATGCGTTTAAGTGAGAGACGCTTTGCTGATACCCCTTCTACCCCCTTTCATCGGGGCTGGGCAAGTATCGTGGTACGTACAAATATTTGGGATTCCAGCGCTCGGCTGTTGTGCCTGCAATATGGAGATAGTCACGCCACGACGCTTGGACGTTGGGTCGATGGCGTAGCTGGTTATCGCATCTGTCTAACATGACATAAACTGTATATGTTCACAGAAGGTCCTCAGTTCGAACCTGGGTCGACTCATTGTAGTAAGAAACGGGTTTTGTTTTGTCACTTGTGGTTGTTGGTTTCAAAATTAAACCTGGGGCATGCTCTAGCCTTTGAGTTCTCCATTCTCCATTACAACTTTTGGGCCTTTTTTGAATAGTTTTACGAGTTGCACTGTTAGTGAATATATCTTAGTCGGTACGACTCGTACCAGCACCAACGCCATTCTCTTGCTCGACAAGGCTTTTAGGTCTATTAGTCGATAGTGCAGCTGCTTGTCACATTTATCTTCAGTTCGAACCTGGGTCGGCTCCTTTGCGAATTGAAAATACTCGTTTTGCTCTAAATCGGCATTTGCCGAAAGGTACGTCACCCTGCCAAGGGAACAAAGAAGGTCCTTGTACTCGTTTTTGTTTATTGTTCTCGTATGGCACGTATAAAAACCTCGCCGTGTGCAATGCTCTTCACCTTCACCTTTCTTCTTTCTCCCATCCAGCCTGGTGCTTCTTGTCCGTGATGCTTTCTTCCATTCTCTTTGTTTCTGCCCTCTTCTTCTCCTCGCGCGGGGCGCCCACAGCCTCCCTCGACGCCTCTGCCCTCCTCACGAACGGCCAAGCTGCCCAGTCCCAGAACGTCGCCTTCCAGAACCTCTCCGTCAATGATACGTGCTCCAGTGCGTCCTGTTCCGTTCACCGGGTATTCTTCATACTCACGCTCTTATTCTTCTAGCGGGCGAAGTAGCGTGTATATCAAGCGAAGTGGCTCAGTGTGCGAATAACCAGTGGGCGACGTCGCCTTGCTCGGGCTCGGCGCAGTGTTTTGCCCTTCCGTCTGTGAGGGGTAACGGGACTGTGCGTGATTTTCTTCTTTCATTGAATACGTGGGGCTTACTTTTAGTGTCTAGTTCTTACAGTGCACGAGTGAGAAGGACGCGACGTCCGTGATCGATGCTACGGGAGCTACCGGAGGCATCTTTGGCAATGGCACCGACACGTCCAATTCCACGACCAGTGCCAACTCCACGGATACCGCGTCTGGCACCTCCGTCGACGATAGCGGGATCGTCACCGTGACCATAACCCTCACCCCCACTGCGACAGTGTTCGTGAGCACAGAGGTGCCCGTCACGACGACACTGTCCCCCGACGAAGCCTCGAGTCTTCTCGCGAGCTTGACAGGCGTGGCTGGCGGTTCAGTTATCACCGCCTCCCCAGCTGTTAGTGCCACTGACGCAGAAGTGGCTTCCTCCTCCGCTGCAGCTACGGTAATCTCTCTCGTTGCTGCTGCAGCTGCCACCTCATAACGCCCATTATTCTTTATGAACGTCACGGATAGATAGTAACTGGTTTACTACGAGGATATGTATTGTACTGTATCATAGGTGTAATAGAGGACAAGCATCAGACTGGATGGTAACAATGTCGGGGCTATGGAAGCTGTAGCGGTTGAAGACTAATGTGACCCGCATCGGGATTGAACACCGTGCCCTCGATAGCTTCTGTGCAGTCGTCGCACTCCTAGATCAAAGTACTCCCTCCTCAAGGTTCTGACTTTGATAAAGAACATGGCATTAAATCGATGGCACAAAGTTAGACCTTGAGCATCCGGAATTGAGTCGACCTAGGTTCGAATTGATGATAAAGCAGTCAACAACTCATGCTCAAGTAAGGGTACCATTAAGATACCTTGGCAGATGAGAACATTCGGTCCAAGGTGAAGAGGCGACGAACCGGACTAGTCTCTGCCCCACATAAGAGATGCGCTTGCCGTTGAAAGTTTGAATTTGGAACTCAATGCCAGCCGCGCACAGCTAATTTCCAAAAATCACAATATATGGACACGAACCAGATCAATGAGCTGGCCCAGGCTCGAACTGGGAATCGGCGACAGGCAGCTATGCCATCGGCCCACGGAGTTGGGAGAGATCCAGAGATGAGGTTCAGGCATTTGGAGAACATGCAAGCTCCGCACAGAGCATCACAACGCCTGGTACTCAGTACGGACAAAAATCGCTATGAATGCACCTCATTGAGTAGACCCAAATTCCAACTGGAAATTGATGCGACAAGCAACTTCGGCCCACGGACTTGAATCCAGGCGCGAGTGGCAGCGATAGCGAATATGTTAGCCTAGTGCAGGCATTGAACCATTCCCCGGGGCCCAAAATTCAAATTTAGAAGTTAAGAAGTTGAAAGGAGTTAGAAGTTGTAACCCAAGTAACAACTTGACAAATTACCCGTCTGCTCTAGCGCTCGCCACTGACTCCTGAGCAAAACAGACTGAATCTACTTGGAATGAGTCGACCCAGGTTCGAACTGAGGACCTTCTGTGTACAATTGCGAATTGATGCACCATGTTAGACAGATACGATAACCAGCTACGCCATCGACCCAACGGCCAAAGTCTAAGACTCAAGATTGGGATTGTACTCATCCGCACTAGGAAGAGTAGTGTTGGCTTCGTTGAATTTTGAGTACATGCGTGGATGTACGGGTGTTAACATGTTAGATGTCAAGGTTGTGGGTCTCCTCTCCAAGATCATGCAGTCGGGTTGTAGTTCGCTCCCCATTGGTGGCTAAGAACGAAAGTACCATGATTCATCAAGACGTGGGAGGAGGCCAAGCTCTCGCAGGGGCAAGGAAGAAGGTTAGAGCGCATGCGGCTATTGGAGTCCTTAGTACACACCGAGTGAGCGGAACAACGATGGGCTTACCACTTTCATCTGAATAAGTACGACGCCGTACAGCGACTGGAAGCATCATCTTTCTCGAAATACGGAATACGCTGGGTACGACGCTCGTCGTAGTCATAGAAAATGGTAATGTCTGTCGCAACTGCGATTCGAGTCGACTTGCAGTTGCCCGGGATGGAGGAGAATAAAAAGCCGGGAGGTATTCGTTACTCGGAGTTGAAGTTCGAACATGGTCGCCATCGACTAGCAGCGCGTCAAGTCTCAACAGGGCACTAGGTGACCCATCTATTGACTATCTATCGATTTCAATGTCCACGAAGCTGAAAGAAATTTCATCACAAAACTCATAATGAGTCGACCCAGAATCGAACTGTGAGCCTGTAAGGCAGATGCGATAACCAATTTCGCCATCGACGTGCACTATAGATCAGCGAGCTCGAAATACATCGCCATGGCTGTGAGTGTTACCAGTGCTTTCGCTCTGAGCTAAGATGGTCACAAGGCGGTGACCAGACGCCCAAATCCGTGGGTGCGGTTATAAACAACGTATAAAGAATTGGACCCCACGCTCGGGGTTTTTGCTAGGTGTGACTCGTAACCTATTGAGGCGGAACAAAAGGCGAGAGACGTCCAGAGCCGAAGACACAAAAGCGGAATGTGGAATAAATTAATTATCTCGAGTGAATGGACAAAGTATGATCCGGACGTGTTGGCGCGTTAATACCTGGGCGCGCGACGAACGATCCTCAAGGGAAACTGAGAGAACGAAAGAGTCGGATGGTAGAAAGACAGGCCGCAGAAATGTCGATTCTCAAAAGGAGAAGGGCACCGTGACGCCGATGGGGCTTTCTCTCGTTATTGAGTTGCGTTTTATACGAAACGGCATTTTGCCGGAAGCCTGCACAGACTCGGGAAAGTCAGGGATGAGCTGGGATGCGCCATTGAAGTCGTTTCGGCAAGTCTGCGGGAGCGGTTAATACTATTGGCACCTAGACATAGATTGAAATGTTGAAGTAGCGTGTATTCGGTAGCTGCGTCGCCAACCTCTATCCGCTCTCTCGTCGCTGCAGAAGCTGAAAGCAGGTACGGTCGGCGAGGAAGGATGCTAGAGGTGATCACCGTCGCAACGATAAGGTATCGAGGAGCCTCATGAGTTAGATGTGGAGTGTTCGCCACGCTACAATAAAAGTCCGTTCTCCACGATGATGATATGGGCAGCACTCGTTATCCTGCCTTATTAGCACGTATTATCACAATCCTTGAGTACGGCAAGTAGAAAGTGTCGAAATATTACATACCAGCGAGCACGACCGTGTACTTTGCATCATATCCATGCAATCAAGACTATTACCTCGTATCCGCCACTGAAGAGGTAAACCAGAGCGTCCATGAGCGCGATCCTCGCGCATAGAGAGACGGTAACAGACTGTCGGAGATGGGAGATGGAGAAGACATATCGATGCCAGGGCAGCCAGGTTGTGCATACCTGCCGGGTACTCGTAGTGGTTGGCAATTCAACGAGATGGAATACGAGGCGAGGGATGTTAGGTGCGAGAACGGGTCACGACAATCCAGGCGCGTTGTTCTTATCGGGGTGTGCGTGAGTACGTACTAGTCGACAAAATTACTAGCCCACATACCATCAGCACCTCAGCAAACACAAAGCACCCCCAAGCTCAAATCATTACTTTGCATACGAAGTCGCCACACTCGCGTCAAACTAGCTGACCAGTCACGTCTCGGTTGGAACTCAGCTCATCCTCCACGACGAAGCGGCAGCATTCCTTATCTAGCGCCATCTCTTGAGTGCGACAGGTAGAACTGTTCAGACATGCTCCCATGATACGCGTGTCCCGCTTCAAAACATAAGCCATCGTCTGAATTCGCGGTTTTTCTTCAAATCCAGAGGACTAGAGAGCCGGATGAGATTTCGAGTTTCAAGAAAAGCTCCAAATCGTTCCTACCGACTGGCTTTCGCGGCTGGGAATAAGTTGGGAGGAGGTTCTCAATCTGGAGATGGAGGCATGTTCCGAAGAAGCAAATGTTCCCACGGTGTATGTCTCTGCGTTATCTTCGCGTATCGGCCCTGCGAGCACAGTACGATGCTTAATGACAGTCCAACTGACTCTTATGCAAGTCCAATGCATAATTAGTATGACAGTACAGTGTTGGCGCTTAACGAGATTGGACTACACGAAGAGAATCAAGTTAGAAGTCGCGTTAGGATACAAAAAAACACGCGGAAGCACAAATATAGATTTCCTTCTTATACGAACATGTCACTACTGGAATCTTGGTACAAATAGTATCAACAACTGTTGAAGATTATGCACTGGTGCGCTCTTCTTAGTTAGCCGTGTTGATGATCCACTCGTTCTCCGTCCCTTGGACCTGCGCTCCGCTCTTGACTTCGACCTGTATACGATTAATCCTCAAGCTCGCATTCTCAACAAGGACAGACTTACGATTGGGCCGATGTCGTTCCACGTATACCAATACAAGTCCTGACCTTTGGGAACAATCCTGACAGACCAGACGGTGCGTTTAATGGAGAATCTGATACAACTATAGCCACTGACTTACACATAGGGCCCGGTCTGAGTAACATCGACCTGCCAGGTCGCAGCCTTGCTAGACCAGACAAGCTTACTACCGGATACAGCGTTCTGTTGCGTTCGAGATTAGAAAGAGTCGACGATCGAAAGGTGGAAGAGAAATACCTCAGGCAATGCGACATACAATCCATTGACACCCATGATGGTGACGTCGGTGATAGCGGGTCCAAGGGCCTGGCTGAAGGTCAAAGTCTGCGATGAGGTCGGTCATTATTAGATGCTACTCCTGAATATCAACGACAACTCACAGCGCCGTCGGGGATGCCGCCGTTACCGTCGGCTGTAGCGACAATCTGGCCGGGTACGTCACACTTGGTGCTGGTGATATAGTAACCAGTGGCTGGGCTTTGAGCGGTATAGTTCTGAGACATCGAATTCAGGAGGGGAAGTGGTGAGGATGTCAAGGGGCGAAGGAATGCGGTTTTATACTGCTGTGGGTGAATGACCAAGACTCGGAGTAAATGAATATAACGATTCTTTGTGTTGACACATTACTTGAAGAGCTACCCAAGGCTCCATCGATCCGCAACGCATGTATGGGGCTTACAGCATTCCATAGATAAAATTGTAGAGATAAAATGACACAGATTTTGAGAAGCGCTGAAAGGAACACCTGGAACTCGTACCAATGGCTTGCGTGTCCCACCACTAACTATCACGCCCTTCCAACCTTTCCTTGACGCTCCAACCTAAGAGCACCTGTAATGTGAACGCGAATCGATAAAGTCACAAGTGCCGGAGATGAACACAGATACCCAAAATGAAGCAGGCGCCTGATGATGCCTAACACCTGTGGACGATGAGAGGTAGTGCTTTCGAACGTGCGAGAGGTTGGAGTCGGAGTAGTAGTACGGACTTGAGCATAACGCAGTCAGGAGGCTCAATAAGCAAAAATAAGGCGACGACCCACCCTCTTTGTGTCCGCTAAGCTCTCTGCTCAACTTAGCGGTGGCGACTTAGCTCATGAGAAGCACATTCCAGTACGAGTAGAGGGGGAGGGATCTAGGGAAATGCGCAATTAGCTTTACTAGACGTAAGCGAAGATTGAAAGACCGTTGTTTCCACCAAAAAAAAGAGCCTCTGTGATGGGAATATAGTAATCATGAGTACACATCCGCTGTCAAGCCGCTGACCCAGATGAGTAGGATTGCTTGAGCCAACTACGCCGACATCGTGGGCAGTCGAAAGAAACCCATCATCAATGATGGTCACGGCAGTAGAAGGGAAAACTGGAAAAATCCAAGACAGTTAAGATGTCAATTTTTTGATTATGATTGAATAACGAGAACATTACCTTCTCATCCTATGTTTAGGGCAAACACGAGCTTCTAGCGGGACCTTTGTTTGAGCGAAGCGTCGATATGTTCGTTAAGCGTAGGCCTTTCATTCCAGATATTAATTAAGTAGGACTTGTGTTCATACCATGGTGCGCGATCGGCGATTAGTACTCATCGTTAGGTACGACAAAATGGTGCTTGGCAGTCTAGCGCATGTGAACAGACGCCAATGACTCTTTTTGCACAGGTCCACAAATCGTATTTTTCTTCACCCCAGAATACAGCCAATCAGCGATGATCATGTCCTGTATCAGCCGCTCATTTCCCTCTGCCAATGGTAGAACGAGCAGTCGGGACCGTGATCAATCACTGGCACACCTAAGTATCCGCATACGGAGTCACAATACTCGCGTCAAGCTAGCTGACCAGACACGGCTTGCAGGTCATACTCCACGATGAAGTGAGCAGCCCTCGTTATCTAGCGCCTTCCTTTGAGTACAACAGGCAGAACCATCAGATGGATCACTCACCGACAGACATGTTCCCATCTACCCATGTCCCGCTTCAAGACATGGGCCATCGTCTGAAATCGTGACTTCTCTTCGAATTCAGAGGGAAAAAGAGCCGGACAAGACGCCAAGTTGCTCCAAATGCATAATGACAGTCCCTCGATAAAGGAAAAAAACTCAAGGTCACTCGAAAAAAGAGTCGTAAGGCGTTTGATTTCAAGCAAACTAAAGGACTGCGACATGAACATCGCTAGGAATAAGTCGACCACGACCTGCCGGTCTATCGCACAAACCAAAGCCGAAAAACCGATGGCTAAAGACGAAGTAGATTAGTGAAAGTGAACGATGGAATTTAGATCTCAAGTACCGAGATCAAATATAAAGACCCTTGAAGTCCTTAGACACGTAGACCTTCAGAGAGTCGACGGTAGCAGAGAAGTTCTTCGTGGTACTGCCTTGAAGAACCCAAGACTCCTCGTCCTCGATATTCGCCTCCAACTTGATGGTAGTCACCATGCAGCAAAAATAATTGCGGAGGTACTCATTGGGGAGCGCAAACCATAGCCTGCACTCCCAGGAGCTCCTCCGAGTCCCCTCCTCAGTCGACGGGTAGAAGTCTGCCACCCCTTTCTCCTTCTTCTCGTTCAAGTGGGTAAACGTCGCCTCGACGGTCGTCTCCAACTCATGTAGGTCTACACCCGCTTGGAGGGCATCATCGAGGAATGTGGCGATCTTCTTCGACATCACGGATACCGTGACATCAGCCTGGGATATGACGGAACTCCTGAACAGAAAGTTGGCTAGGTCGAGGGCCGGGTAGCGATCGATGGCGGCTCTGAAATCCTTCCAGTCGAAATGTTTCTTGCCGGTCGTGTCGTCAAATTTCACGTAACGGCCGGGGAATTTCATGAAATTTACGCTGGCGGGTACAAGGCTTTCATGCAGCTTGGAAAATCGGTCGAAGGCGAGCCCGGCTACGCAAGAATGTCGATGGGTAGGAATTCAAAAGAAGTAAAAAGAGGTCGACGAACGATTAGCGCTGAACTTGTTGAAAAACATTATGAAATAGGGTTTGTTGATGTGAAGGCGAGTTTGTAAAAAGATTTTAGGTCTAGCACAGGAAGAGTGGTTATATAGGTTCAGGAGATGCGGTGAAAGGAGACGAGGCCGAGACCAGGAGAGTCTCAGTTTGAGACCATCGACCAACGAATCGCGAGATCCTTCGAATCGTAAATAGTAATTCATAGGGCCTGATCTGATGAATCCTCGACTTCCTAGAGCGCAAGGCAATGTGGGAGTTCAGAGAGATTTGAAGGAGGTAGATTGGACCGTGTGCAAGATGTCTGTTATCGTGTTCATACTGAGCGCAAGCACAAGGGCCAAAAGGACACACCTATTATTTCATGGGACGTTATACGTATCCGTCGATCCTTGTGCCCTAGGCCTAGTAGTCTAAACCTAGGACCATCTTGAAACTCGCGGTAGGTAGGTGCTGCGCGGCAGTGTCCATCGTGAAATACGAGTAATTTGGAGGTGAATCGATACCTGTCAAGTAGGGAGACTCCTCAAGGCGAGATGAGCGTCAACGAGTACTGATTCGGAATACCGAGGACCGACGAGGATGCTTCAAAGTTCAAAGCGAGGAAGTTGAGTGAAACGTACAAAGAAGACTCAGACACGTCGAAGACCACGTGCGAATCTCTCTTTCAATTGTACGTCAAGCTCGACAAGCCGGGATGTTGACTGATTATGGTGCGGTGTGCCTTTTTCGTTGGATTGATGGTGTTCTGAGGCATCCAGCAGATCAGGGTGACGAAATGCCTGCTTGGGCCGCCGCTATGGAGAGGAGGCTAACCAGGCAGATGGTTGAGATAACTGAGGACCTCAAGCTTGATGTGGTGAGCATCAATGGCGAGTTGACGGGCATTGGAGGCCATTTGACGAGCATCGATGACCAGTTGAGTGGGCCGTTGGACGGAATGACAACCCGCCTCATCAGGATCCAAATCAATACTGCTAGAGTTCGTCACTTAGCATCCTGCCAACTGACTTTCTAACCTTTTGTCCAGACCATTAATTTTTCTTGCGGCGATGGCACTTGCTGGCCGTACGAATTAGTACCTGCATCAGATGGGAAGTATTTTCATGTAAGTCAGACTTGACGTCGTCTTGCCCATCGAGGCTTATTTGGTAAGAATCTACCGGAGCTGCGCACAGCCCAAGATTTGTGGAGCCTCACCGATGTCCAGTTGGACAGGTATCTCAAAGGATACGGACTGGAACATGGGCACGGCACGGCACGTAATGAAAAGCTCGCGCTTCTGTGTCGTTACATTGGAGGTTCTTTGGAATAGACGTCCGAGGCAGGGAAAAAGAATATGACACTGGTGGCTCGGACAGATGTATATCTAGGGACGGATACTTGAATATTTGTGGTAAGCGGTGTAAATTAAACATGGCACAGCCGGCGCGTCGCGTCTGGTGGCACTCCGGGGCAATATTGTTTGAGTTTACATGTCAAACGACAGTAGGCTTTTGAGAAGAGAATTTGGTCTTAGGCCCTAAAATCGGTGCAAAACTTGATTAATGATTACCTGAAGGGCTGACTCCTAGGCCTAAGTGCAAACTCCTAATCAAAAGAAAACTTAGGATACAGGCCCCGGTGACCAGCCCGACTGCTAGTGAAGACTCAGGAAAGTTGAATTATGAATAAGTATTAATCGATTGAGTAAAAGCAATTGAACTTTCGTGCGCTACGGCGCTACCCTAAATTGCCCAGGCCCCACGTCAATAAGGATAAATGCATGACACTGCTGCATGAGTCGGCCCAGGTTCGAACTGAAGACCTTCTGTGTAATATAATATTCATACCATCAAACCATGTTAGACAGATGCGATAACCAACTACACCACCGACCCACTAAAATGTTGAAAGACAGTGGACAGAGCCCGCGTGCAAAAGTAACAGGATAACTGATCCATTACCTGCGAATTATAATGGGGACAAGCATTATATCTTGTCGTCATCTGCGCCGAAAAGCAACCAGGTGCAATCCCAAACCCGGGGCGAAAGACGAGCGCAGGGCACTGACGAGGCCGATCCGGACGATCTGTCACAGATTTTACTCCCTCCGTAGCGCCAAATTTGAGTGCATATGGGGTGCTAAGCAAGGTCCAAATATAGCGGTCAACATGTTGGTGTGCATATATGGGAGGAGGGGAATTGTCATTGGATCGTCGACCAAACATATTTCCACCTCCCCCAAAATACTTATGCGGCGGAAAGGATATCTCCCAGCGTAGCTCGGGTTTCCTACGTTTGTACCTCTGTATGCGTGAAGCTGTGAGAGATGAAATGCTCGAAGATGAGGACGCCGGTTTGCAGATGACAGACTGCGATCAGCGACTGCGCCGATACCCCAAACACATTGGTGCGAGGATGCTCAGAATTGTGTAGATAGATAGAGCTCTGCCTCCACGAAATGATGTTTTGCCGGTTCCCGACATCAATAACGAATCAGGAATGTCAGGAATGACCTAGAGTGCTCTGCTAGGGTCGTTTCTCGTCAGTACGAGTGCGTACGCGTAGGTTGAAGAAGCGTGTACTCCGTAGAAGTGTCAATCTCTATCCGCTCTCCTGTCGCTGCGGCAACTGAAAGAAAGTGTAATCGATGAAGAAGAATGCTCCATGCAGAGAGGTTAGGTATCGTCGCAAAGGCAAGATATGGTGAAGTCGTCGAGAGGCCACCGAGTTTAATGAGGAGTTTAGGGATATTCGCTCTCCATGACGATGAATTCATTATCCCGTTGTGGTAGTGCGGACCTTGATAGCTTTTGATCAGATCAGAGCACAGCAAGGAGAAAATGTACTCACTGGCGAGGGGTTTCGTGTCCCTTTCGTGCAATGTAGGGCCAGCCTGCCCTATTTCCACGACCAAGCTACGAGAGAGATGTGGACCGGTATGACGTATCGTACGGCGCGCGTATCTTGAACCAGTCACTGGGGAACATGAATCCTATTTTTATGTATATCTGATAGACGTTTCTGTAGCTCAATGAAGGTGGAACGTCGCTTGAGATTTCATTTCTTCTCCACGATGGGGGGACTAGCAGGGCGAGAGACGGCGGTGGTAGCAGGATGACGTTCAGAAATGGACTGGAGAACGCTGTACGCTTCTTAGAGCAGCCCTGGAAAAGCGATCTCGATAAAGCCGCTAATGATTCTTGTCGTACTCAGGCTTCGGATCTGCGCTCAAGGAGTCCGGACTGTAGAGAAGTGGTGTTGTTAGATTCAGATTCAGGGAATCTGAGGCAAGTCATTACGTACAACATCGATGAAGACGAGAGATGCGTGAACATAGCTTGGATTGGCCATTTTTATTACTGCGGCAACGTATAATACCGGTAATGCTCGGTCCAAGATGATTCCAGCGGAGAACGTGTTGGAAGGATCCGCCGATATGCTGAGACGAGGCGCTGGGAAGGCATCGTGGTATCTCTAGAGAATAAGGCACCTCGTTCACTAGCATCGGACGTGCGCGTGTGTCCTCGGCGTCAAAAAGGTAAAGGTCGCCATGAAATCTAGGAAGGGTCTTGGAAAAATTTTGCACAGGTCGCCGGAAAATCTCCTCTATGATGCGAAGGGGCGCCGTGTCTATCCAGATAAAATTTGAGTACTACGAGCAGAAAATGTCGAAAAGATTACTCGCTAGCAAGAACGCATATGCGACGAATCACCTCGCTTCGCTTCCACCAGAGAACTGACCACTCAAGCGTAGGTACGAGCTCCTGCTTGCAGACGACCTAGGTAGCTGCTTCTCGGCGTCAGACTCGGCTATTCCGAAATGAGATGAAGAGAGACTGTTGAAGGAGAAGGAGACAGAAATGAAGGTTTGTGGGATTGAACACCGGGATAGCAACTAGCGAAATGTTGAATACAGCAGTCAAGAGACAAGGAACTACTCACCAATACACGCGACCCAGTGGGCGTGGTCCTCACGAATTCCCGTTCAATTTCTCTCTAGCTTTGAGCTCATATAGAAATGCAAGGCCAGTACAAAAGAAAATCAAAGGGACAGACAGCAGCGACAGTGATGAAAGTAGGCACAGAGAGAGCGACTAGATTCTGGGAAGTGTTACGCGTTGACATCAGTGTGAGATGATCGAGCCTCAAACCCAGCGTGATGGCGGTGGGAACTGGGAGAGCTGGAGTCCGAAAAGGGAACCCGGGATTGACCCGAAACTCAAATAAATATTCCCCGGTTGGACAAGTAAGGCAGAAAAGATGTATGTAGGACATAGTGTGCTGTGTCTCGCTTAATTATTTCATGTTCAAGAATCGCAGCTTGTACAAGCTTGTACATGACTACTTGGGGTCCGTGGTGACTTCGTCATTCCAGGGTAATCCATATTGCACGCATTGAAAACAAATTGCAAAATTACAAGCCGGTATGATGGATCTGGATTCTGGCTCCTGGATCTAACAATAGACTATAGTTTGGTATAGCACCTACCTGCAAAAACACGACAATATTATGTGGACATGAGTCGACCCAGGTTCGAACTGAGGACCTTCTGTGAACATAGATATACTCCGTATCAGGATGTTAGACAGATGCGATAACCAGCTACGCCATCGACCCATTGAAGAATAAAATTGATCGCTTTCCTCTGAAATTCTTCACAACAGAACGACAATCGATATTTATATGGACTACACTACGACAAAAGGACGGAGAAGGGTAATCAACGCTAAGCAGGTACACGTTAGCACCGAACACCAACTCAGAGAACCAAACCTCACCAGAACGCGTCGAGCACAATCCAAAACCCTCCCTATGCGCGCGCGTAGCACATTTACTCACTGCAAAAACCCCCATCAGTCAGCCCTCCAACAACTTACCCACACAAACGAGCGAACTTACAGGAGGGACAAGGTGATATCACCGTTGACCTTGGCCTGGATAGCGATCTCGACCTCGAGGTTGAGGTCAAGGCGCAGCTTCACGGATGCGGGGGGTGCAGCGGCGCGCTGGGAGCGGCCGACGATCTGTCCGCCGAGGACGGAGGAGGTTTCGGTAGGTGCGAACTGGGTTTGTGGGGCAGACATTGTGATGCTGAAGAGGGAGGGATGCTGGGGTGGGGGGTTTTATACGAGCTAAGCGTTATTATGGATTGCGCCATATTGGTTTATGCTTCCCTCGAAAGAGGAGAGTTGGACCGGGGCGAGAACAACGTTATGGATTGCGCCATGGTGCACGGTGCATTTAGCAACTCGGGTGCCTCGTTATCGTATATTGGATGAGAAGAGAAGACTAGAGTTGAGAGAGGTTAAATTTCGTGGGTTGTCATTGTCAAACACGTACCAAGTGCGAACACCCGGGTACCTCTTGGGTCGTCTTGTGATTAGTCTCAGGCGGGCGGGGCAAGTTCTTGTTCTCCATTTGGAGATGGAGCGACGAGCGGGAACTAGCAGGCAGAAACGGAATGCAGGCCGTGTCGTAACAGCCTAGAAGTGGGGTGCCTTCAAGAGAAAAAAAAACTCGAAGTGGTCATGGGAGGAAGAGAAAGAGGCTCGACTCTTGGGTTCCCACGGATGTATTCAGTAGAGTCCTACCACATCAGAAAAATTTCTCGTCAACGAGGCAAAGTTGCAAGCTTCCGGACCCATGTATATTCAAATGAAATATCAATGGTTACACGAGCATTCCCGCGTCCAAGGTGCCGAGTACCCCGCAACGGGCCCAGTTAGTTGTTATAAAAACCCTCACCTAGCCGTTCTCCATCCTCAGCATCACAATGTCTGCCCCACAAACCCAATACGCACCTACCCAATCTTCCTCCGTCCTCGGTGGACAAGTCGTCGGCCGCTCCGAGCGCCAGGCTGTTGCACCCCCCGCAGCTTTGAAGTTGCGCCTTGACCTTAACCTCGAGGTTGAGATCGCCATTCAGGCCAAGGTCAACGGTGATATCACCTTGTCGCTCCTGTAAGTGGATTGCTTCGTGTTGGCGCGTCGGAGGGCTGATTGGTGGTTTGCAGTGAGTAAATGTGTTATGCGCATTGGGAGATGGAGTCGGCGCGCAGTCGTCCGTTCGAGGTGAGCATTGTCTGTTGGCGTACTTGTCGGTTTCGTGCTGACGCTTGTTAGGGCACCGCCATGTACCGGTTACATTCTTCTCGTCGTCCTTGGTTAACTGTATTAGTGTCTGTACACCTACTAGATACCAATATCAGTGTTATTCTGGGATCATGCAATTGAAGTTCTACCAATGGCGACGCGTGTGTTTCAAGTTTCGAGACGGAAAGTTCGTCGACTGGAGGTATCAGGGATTTCTACCGCGATTGAGAGCATGGCAGTCACAGCTGGGTGGTGACTATTTTTGGATGGTCAAAATAAAATCAAAATCCGAGATCCCGATTTTGGGCGAGGCAAAATCTTTCGATATTTCCTTATTAGGGAATTCCTCGGATTTTGACTGAGGCAAAATCCGACATTTCGCACTTTGATTCTATTTTGACTCGCCCAAAATAGTCGCCGCCCAGCTGTGAGTGTAAAATTGACTTTTGGCGGCATTTCCCGATGTGTTTCTCTTTCCCGCACCACGTTCCAACTCGGTCTACTATGCGAAGACTACTGCATTCCTCTCGCTTCTTCCTCTGCTGTTACCCTGCGTCGTCGTGAGAAGGACCCAATCCTTAGAGTGAGGGTGTTGTTGTCGGCGCTGTGAGGCGAGCAAGTTTGGTGGGTTACCATGATCCTCCTTTCATAGACCACCCAGCCAGGTTCGCTTCCTCGCTTGCATATCGGCAGCACACGCTATCATCACGTACGCGACAAACTCCTCCAATCGCCCACCATACGCAGGTGGTACGAGACGACCACGGCGGATTCCATTCCTTGATGGACCTCGATGCTTTGGAGCACAAGCATCAGAAATCGAACTGTTCGCTAGTCGCCACCACGAACCGACACTCGCCGGCCATGTCGTTTTTTCCTCGCAATTGGCGCTGCTCCAATGTCTTCATGCAAACCCACCGCGCGCTGTCTCCTCCCGAGCATTATCTGCCCTCCAAAGCCTCCCCGCTCGTGTTCGCGGCTTACGTTACAAGCACATCAATATCTGCAGAACAAGGGTTTCACAGCGTTCGTGCAGTCCTCGCCCAAGTTGATGTCGAGTATAACGCGACACTAGGCCATTCCTTACCACACTCAATGTGCAGGCCGTACCGCAATACGCGCGTCCCTACTTCCCTATTTCGAACATGCAAACTGGACCTCGACGGGAGGTAACTTGCAAGCGGTTTACGACAGCCTTTGCTAGTCGTCATTACACCTCGACCTGGTAACCACCACTCGACGCTCCTCCCACACACCCCCGGTCTCCTCCTGGCGCAGTACTTGGTTACGCGCAAAGCCCGCTCTCCCCTATCTCTCTCCATCAAGCATGTGAAAGATGGCAGTCCCCATCGAGTCTGCTCTCAAGCTAGTCCCGCCCTATATTCAGTTCTGCGGCAGACTGTAGGGCGACAACGAGAGATCCATACACACGGATAAAAGGATCCGGTGCTTGCTTATTGGGCGTCTCCCGGGATGTGACCAGGTGCAGGGTAGATCGATTCATCTATTGCAGAGAGGGTGTATGCGGCGGGGGCCCTTTGGCATCGAGAACTGTTCTCCAATTTCTGGTACTGTACAGTGGTTCCTTTGTTGTAAATCTAAAACATAATCCACTCACTCTCTTTACATCGCGTCGTCATCTGAGCTCACTCTCAAGGGTACCTCTTTTGAGATGCCGTATCCATTTTTACACGACATTTTTGCCAAGGACGCTTCCACACTCGCGGATAAATGGGTCCGATGCTTTGGCGTGGAGTTCGATTCTCCCGAGGCGCAGTTCTCTCATAGAACCCCGGTGTTCCTTATTGGGACCGCATACCGGTTTTCTAAACTCTAAACTCGGGATGTTTGGATGTTATTTCGGCAAGGGGCATCGTGCCTCATTCTAACAAGCTCATTGTTATGATTCTTTGACCCACGCCCGCTAAAGGGTTTGGATGAGCAAATTGGGAATTCCCTTGTCGCCTGCTCAAGCCCTCGTGCCGTCGCGTCTTTCCTTACCTATTCCACATTCCGTCCTCCACTCTCTGAATTTTCGCACCTAGCAGGATCCCGAGCGTGAAGTCCAATTTATTTATCCAAGGATCCGGACGCCCAGAGAATTGACCGCTCACTCATAACCCCTACCATGCACGTCGATGGCGAAGTTGGTTGTCGTATCTCTCCTCAGTTCGAATCTGGGTCGACTCATGAGGGTCGAGGTTGTCAATATGATTACTTTCGTTTTTGCCTCGTGGACACTGGAGTCGATCGACTGGATTACCATTGAAACTTGAGGCTCTGCTCTCGAGTGACGGATATCCCTGGTTTTTATCTCTTCCATCTCGCGACAGACAGAACCGTTTTTCACGACTGTCTAAGACTTAAGTACTAACCGGTTGGAACTTGGCAAAAAGGAATTTTGCCTACAATGTAGGTCTTTAAGTACATCTATGAGTCGGCCCAGGTTCGAACTGAGGACCTTGTGAGTGCATATGGGATGCTACGCAAGGTCCAAAGGTAGCGGTCAACATGTTGGTGTTATATATGGGAGGAGGGGAATTGTAATTTCAAACATATTCCCACCTCCCCCGGAATATGCGGAGATAGATAGATAGATAGATAACCGGACAAGGAGGAAAGGATATTTCCCAATGTAGCTCGGGTTCGCTATGTCTGCACCGCTGTATATGTGAAACTGTGAGACATGAAATTCTTGAAGATGAGGACGTCGGTTTGCATATGACAGACTGCGATCAGTGACTACGCTGAGGTCCTAAACACATTGGTGCGGGGAAGCGAAGGTCCAAGGATTCTGTAGATAGATGGAGCGCTACCTCCACGAAATGATGGTTTGTTTGCCCGTGCCCATCATCGGTAACAACTCAGGAAGGCCAGGAACGACTCAGAATGTGCCGTCGAGGTCGTTTCTCGTCAGTACGAGTGAGGTTGAAGAAGCGTGTACTCCGTAGAAGTGTCAATCTCTATCCGTTCTCCTATCGCTATGGCAACTGAAAGCAAGTGCAGTCGACGAAGAAGAATGCTCCGTGCAGAGGTCAAGTGTCATCGCAAAGACAAGAGATGGTGAGGTCGAGAGGTCACTGAGTGTAATGAGGAGAGTCGGGATATTCGCTCTCCATGACGATGATACAAGCATTCATTATCCTGCCGTGGTAGCGCGGATCTGGATAGCTTTTGAGCACAGCAAGGAGAAAACGGCTAACAGATTGCTTACTGGAGAGGAGCTTCGTGTCCCATTCGTGCAAATAAGGGACCAGCCTGCCCTATTTCTACGACCAAGCTACGGGAGAGAGGTGGAACGGCGTGACATATCGTACGACGCGCGTATGTTTGTGTCGAGAGGATCAGTCGACACCTATCGGCCCTTTCGGATGTCACTATTTATAGATGAGTAATTTCCGTTGAATGGCGCAATCGTTACCGTATTTCAGATTTTTATTCCATTGCGCACCTCAGTCTTTTACACCCATTCGAGTGAAGACTGAGGTACGCTTTTTCATTACTTTACTTATCGGTACAATACT